TATTAGGGTCTGTATATACGCTCTTTCTCTCCCCCACCCAAAACCCAAAACCCTAAACCCTAAACCCTAAAAAACCCTAAACCCTAGAAAACCCCAAACCCTCGACGATGGATGCAACAAACTTTAACAGCTTACTCGAGGGTACCATGAGCCCTGATGGGGGTGTGAGGAGAGAAGCAGAGAAGAGAATAAAAGAAATAAAGAAAANTCTGCTGCTTTTTCTGGTTCTATAGGGGGAGAAACAAATGTATGGAGGCAGCTATCTGCTGCAGTGCAGCAGCAGGTGCAGCAGCAGCTGCTGCTGTGCTGCAGCAGCGACAGCAGCAAGACAGTACGCAGCAACATCTGCAGCACAACAGCAGATCTTGCTGCTGCTCTGCTGCTGGAGGGAGAATGGGGAGACATTGCTGCTGCTCTTATGTCTATGCTTTCTGCTGCTGCTGCTCCTGCTGCTGCTGCTGCTGCTGCTCCTGCTGCAGCAGCTGCTGCTGCTGCTGCTGCTGCTGTGCAGCAGCAGCAGGCAGCACTACAAATCCTAACAGACATCATTCCGTCTCTCTCTCCCTATATACAAACGCAGCAAGAGAAGCAGCAGCTTGCTGCTGCTCTTCTTTATACACTATCTGCTGCAGCAGAAACAGAAACGAATGTTGAGGCTCTCGCGCTCCTTGTTGCTCTTGTTGAAGACGGACAGAGAGGTTTGCTGCTGCTGCTGCTNATGTTGAGGCTCTCGCGCTCCTTGTTGCTCTTGTTGAAGACGGACAGAGAGGTTTGCTGCTGCTGCTGCTCCTGCTGCTGCTGCTGCTGCTGCTGCTGTTGCTGCTGCTGGTGTTGTTGTTGCTGCTGCTGGTGGTGTTGTTGTTGCTGCTGCTGCTGTTGCTGCTGCTGTTGCTGCTGTTGTTGCTGCTGTTGTTGTTGCTGCTGTTGTTGTTGTTGTTGTTTGTGTTGTTGTTTTTGCTGCCGGTGTTGTTGTTGCTGCTGCTGCTGTTGTTGTTGTTGCTGTTGTTGTTGTTTTTGCTGCTGCTGCTGTTGCTACTGCTGCTGCTGTCCTTGCTGCTGCTGCTGCTGCTGCTGGGGGTGTGATAATGATGCTGCCGCTGCTGCTGCTGTTTCTGCTGCTGCTCCTGCATGCTCTGCTGCTGCTGTTGCTGCTGCTGCTGCTGCTGCTGCTGCTGCAGGTGTGTATAGGAATGTTGCAACAGCAGATGCTCCTATCTCGCTGCTTGTTGTTGCTGTTGTTGAGAGGGCGCTGCAGCAGGCAGCAGCAGAAACAGCACAGGGGGAAACCCCAGACTTCCAGCTGGCCGAGAGGTACACCCTGCTGCTGCTGCTGCTGCTGCTGCTGCTGCTGCTGCTGCTGCTGCTGCTGCTGCTGCTGCTGCTGCTGCTGCAGTGGCTGTGTGTCAGTGTTAGCAGCATCGTTGCTGTTGAGCTGTATTAAACTGCGCCGCATCTCTCTTTTTATTTACCCTTCATTCCTCTTCCTCCCGCTGCTGCTGCTGCTGCTGCTGCTGCTGCTGCTGCTGCTGCTGCTGCTGCAGGGCGTTGGGTTTGGTGGTGCAGCTGGTGGAGGGAGACAGAGGGGGCGGTGCTGCGCTGCTGAAGCCGCAGCTGTCTTTGCTGTTTTTTTATTTGTTAGCTTTGGCCAACGCAGGCAAAGAGCTGCCAGATCTTGCTGCTGAGGCAGATGCTGCTGCTGCTGCAGCAGCAGCAGCAGCAGCAGCAGCAGCAGCAGCAGCTGCAGCAGCAGGTGCAGGTCCAGCAGGCGCAGCAGGCCAAACCCAAGCAGCAACAGCAGCAGGAGCAGCAGCAGCAGCAGCAGCTCGGTCTGTTGCTGGTGCTGCATGCGCAGCAGCAGAAGAGAAAGCAGCAGGAACGGAGACAATAAGGAGAATATCTATCGAAGCATTGCTGTGTTACGCGGAGACAAAACCCCACACCCTTTTGGGGTGTATAGGCAGCTTAAAAGAGTTAATATCGACGCTGCTGCGCTGTCTGCTAGAAGCAGAAAAAGATGAATATACACCCTGGTTTGAAACAGGAGAAGAAAATGATGATGTATGCTGCTGCTGCTGCTGCTCCTGCTGCTGCTGCTGCTGCTGCTGCTGCTGCTGCTGCTGCTGGTGCTGGTGGTGATGGTGGTGATGATGGAGATGTTGGTGTTGTTGCTGTTGGTGTGTTTGTCGTTTTTTTTTGCTGCTGGGTTTGCTGCTGCAGCTCTTGCTGCTGCTGCAGCAGCAGCAGCATGCAGATACACAGCAACAGCAGCAGCAGCAGCAGCANTGCAGCTCTTGCTGCTGCTGCAGCAGCAGCAGCATGCAGATACACAGCAACAGCAGCAGCAGCAGCAGCAGCAGCAGCAGCATGTGTGTGTGTGTTGTGTATAGGAGCAGCGAATGTACTGCATAGGGGAGGAGGGCCTGGACCGTCTGGCTCGCGCATACGAAGTTGACGACGACGACAGCAGCAGCAGCAGCAGCAGCAGCAGCAGCAGCAGCAGCAGCAGCAGCAGCAATAAGAGACGTCAAAAGAAGCAGGAAAGCATATCAGCAGCAACACATATTCTCCCTCTTCTTGCTGCTGAGCTTAAAATATATTTAAATAAAGATAAATGGATTTATAGGTTTGCTGCTCACATCGCCATCGCCCAAACAGCAGAATATCTCCCCCCTAATGATGAGCAGCAACTTGCTGCTGTTGTCGATACTGTTGCTAAGGTTCGTGCTGCTGCTGCTGCTGCTGCTGCTGCTGCTGCTGCTGATGTTCGTGTTGCTGCTGCTGCTGCTGCTGCTGTTGATGTTAG